TAGTTCTGTGTAAAAGATCATATCGTTTTTATTGAGATTGAGATATCCTGTTATTGAATTTGAGATATCCTTATTTCCTTTTTAATATAAAACAGAAACGTTGAATCGTGAGTAGCGTGAACATTGTCACTGTATTTGTCGAATATATTACAGTTGTGTAATTATATATTAGTCCATTATTTGGGAAATATATAAATATAATTTATAACACGACTGATTTCTGATATATAGAATGTAATGGCGATAATAGCAGTCCTTTAAGCGGAAATTCACAAAACTGCTGAGATATCTCTCTAAAATGCCTTGCAAGAAAGCGCAATAATCTCTTCATTATGGTCACTCCAGCACGGACTGGCCGCCATTACCCAAATTATGTTATCATAAATAAATAAATTTTGTAACGATTCATCAATTCAAAAAATTTAATACACCTACCGTATGTTTAAAACTTTATGTTTGGGTTTATAAAGTTTATATCAGCTGTTATAAGGTTTATATAAAGGGTTGTAGGTTTGCGTGGCATTGCAGAAAATAGTGCAATAATAAAACATTAAGTAATAAGGCGAGGCTTTTCTAACAGAAGAATAATATGTAATATTACTGGGCAATAATATATAATATAATATACGCGTGCTACTTATGGAACGTACACTGACGCACATTATTGTACACATGTCACTCAAATGTTTAATAGATTATTAGAGATAAAATTGTAAGAAACATCGATAATTCACAAAGATATACCAAAATAAACGAACAGCAAAATTGTTATTATTGTATTATTCCTACAATAATTAGATGCAATGTAGTTCATTATTTTTGCGTTGTGACGATGCATCCCCTCCCGGGCGAACACCGCGGCGGACAGACCAGCCGTCTGCCGCAAAACGGCGCTCAGCGCCAATAAACAATCTCACACGCGGCGCACACATCCGCCACGTGCGCACATCGTCAACAACAATTGTTGTTGCCAAACGTGCACGTGTCGAAAATACCGTACCGAAAGCGATATAAAAGGCCGTTCCGCCGCGATAACGACACCTGATTCCACTGGAGTCAGCCGGACCGAAAGATCGAAGCTGCTCCGGATCCCGATCCCCACGTCGAGGGACCGCGACGGTGCGTACGCCGTCTCCGCTTTGAATACGCAGTCGAATCGACATCCTTCCATCCGGTAAAGACCGAGGTAATGCGTACGCTGTCTCTCCCATGTAAGTCGCGGGCACCGGATTCTAACCTCCTNAAGACCGAGGTAATGCGTACGCTGTCTCTCCCATGTAAGTCGCGGGCACCGGATTCTAACCTCCTTTTCGGGACGGTGTGTTCGCCGTTTCCACCGGGAGCTCCCGGCCCTCTTGCCCGTGAGAGACCTGGGGATCGGCACGAGTTGGGGTGGTGTGTTCGCCCCCTACGTGGAGTGTTCTCCACCTCGGCCACCCCACTCTCGTCATCGGGTCTTGCGCCTCCGGGGCATGCGAACGCCCCGGAGTATCGTTCCGCGTTCCGAATCTAGAGACGACGCGCGTCTCTCGTCCGCACCTCACCGGAGGTACCGTAACCGCCGCGAACCGCGATATACCGCCGCCGGCTGCACGTTGACCAGGCTTGCCAGACCGAATCCACCGCATTGTACGGGAGCACGAAACCGCGTGCTCTCCGTTCCGGGGTTCGGCCGACGCATGCACTCCATGGGCAGCGATCACCGCGTACCGCGATAACGCGAATAGCAGATGCATTCCGCCGTCTTGCACTCCGATGCGAAATCGAGATATTTAAACGCCGGGCCGACACGCGAACCGTCAACACAACATGCCGGAATAATAAAACATCAAACCATTGAACCTGGAATTATTATTTTTGCAACAACAGTCAAAGATATATTTAAATTATTCTGTTCGCTCTTTTTCCGCGCTCATAAACTTATTTCATTTCTGAAGATGTCCAACAAGTGACAATCACTGATGCAATGACATCCTTATCGCGAGAGGCAAAATCAAACCTTGAACCGCTCAACGCTGTGACCCGTGCCCCGCCGGTCGGTGGACGAGTGCGCTACCCTGGCCGGCGGGGCGGTCGTCCGGTGTCAACGGTTGTGTTCGGTGGCCTCGGTGTAGCTCTCGTTATGTCAAGGCGTTCTTCGTTGTCGAGCGCCCGCTCTCCGGGGACACCGCAAGCGGCCACTCCAAACAGATTTCACGAAAACCAATACGCCGAATAACACCGAGATAAGCCGGCGATACAACGTCACGACGTAAACACGGAATTCCGTGGCTGCATCTATCGCCGCAATGTATCACCGCGAAAAATTGAATGGAAGCGCGGCCCGCTGATACTCGCTTGTACAAAACATCGTGGTTATAATTAACTAAAAAAAAGGGTTGTTATTCAAATACTCGCTCACTCACTCACTCACTCACTCATTCACTCGTCTAATCACACACACACACACACACGCACGCACAAGGAAGAACGCCTGGACATACGGCGAGCTACACCGAGGCCACCGAACACAGTCAACCGTTGACACCGGAAGACCACCCCACCAGCGGGGCACGAGTTACAGCGTTGAAAGGTTCAATGTTTGATTTTGCCTCTCGCGATAAGGATGTTATTGCATCAGTTATTGTCACTTGTTGGACATCTTTAGGAATGAAATAATAAGTTTATGAGCGCAGTAAAGAGCGAATAGAATAATTTAAATATACCTTTGACTGTTGTTGCAAAAATAATAATTCCAGGTTGAATGGTTTGATGTTTGATTGATTTTAATGGATATATTTGATGTTTCTTTTAATCATATAGATTAAACGGAGTTGACAGAACATAGTCTCTTGCATTTAATTTATGGTTATAAAAGTAATCATAATTAAATTCATATATCACTGTTTTTCTATTTTCACACAAATTACATAACTTTCACTCAAATTATATGAAGGAAAAGAACAAAAAAAGATGAAAGTGTCAGTAAAAATAGTTAATTCAAGGAGAATATAATAAGAATGGGAATCTACACAAATACAGTTGTTGAAATTTTTCAAATTATAAATGGATTGATTTAGTAACATACAATGTAGCTGCAGATATCTAAACGATGTTGTTAAATTGTTAGAATATCGAGATTTGTGACGTGGCGAATGTCCCTGGAACTACTGCTCTTTATTGAACGCCTAACTCTGAATTTATAATAGATTTGCTATTAAATATGACATTTTCGAAAAATATCTTGCGTATATCATTTATTTCTCAAAGCAGTTTCATTAATCTCTCGGAGATTCGTTCCTTTGCTATATTTGTATTCCAACAATGATAACGCTGTGATAAGTAAATAATTTTTGTATTTATAACGTATTTTAACGGGAATGTTGTGCTAAATTTATTTTGAAATAAATTGAATAAATTTAAAATGTGTGTTCCTTCGTTTATAATATAATACAATTTTAAATTATATTTAATGAATGAAAAGGAAATAGGGAAAATGATAGAAAACTGAAAGGGAAGAAGAGGATACGTAAATGTTAATGCAAATATATTTTCGCGCAACAATGATCAACTTCTCCTAATTTTTTTTCTTTGAGATATTTTTCTTACAGTAAATTATAAATTTTTTATTTTGTATATCTGCAGATGTATAATCTGCATCAAAATTAAATTTCCGTTTCATAATTGAATAAATCAATGTTAAATTTATCATACGTGAGTGTAGCTCAAAAACCACAAGATTAATCGAACAATAATTTGGTAGAATATGACCTATATCTAAGAAAGTATCAAAATGTTGTCAGAGTAAAACATTTGCTTCTGAAAAATTTTATATTATTTCATCTTTGGTTTATTACATAGTATAATTACATCAGACAGTAAATTACAGGAACTTGAATCAATACGTTTAAAAGGATATTTACCATGTAGATAACACGTATCAATATTAAAATGTAAGCCGTAATAGTTCATGAGGATTTCCGCTCATCCCTCCCACCGTTCATGCATGATAAGATTCTCGCTGCTAGAATCATAGCATTAAATGCAACGAGCGACGAAGTCATTCGTTCTCGGACGCGTCAGTCACAATGGAGTGGTCGTGGTCGCCGTTATTCTCGTCGCCTTTTGCGCTTTCATTAACAACTTTGTTCGCTATTGGCGTACTGAAATTGGTCGTCGTTCTATATCATGTGTACACTTACTGGAAGAAAAGAGGTGTCCCTTATATACGAGCGGTTCCGAATTTGGGGTCGCCTTGGATACTGTTGTTTCGACGCATGAGCTTCCCCGACTTTAACAAGCACATCTACTATTATGACCCGAACGCTAAATACATTGGCATGATGGACAAAGCCACACCAGTCGTTGTTCTCCGCGATCTCGAGCTCATCAAAGATGTCATGGTGAAGGATTTCGAACATTTTACCGATCATGCCGTTATAGTGACTGAAGAATGTGACCCCTTGTTTGGTAAGAATATCTTTTCCTTGTGCGGTGATCGCTGGAAAGAAATGAGAAACACGTTGAGCCCCTCTTTCACCTCCAGTAAGATGAAAGTTATGTTCGAGCTAGTGTCAAGATGTTCCCACGAATTCACCGAATATCTGGCGGATCATCCGGAACTATGGTCCTCTATCGACACGAGGGACGCCTTCAGGCGATACGCCACTGATGTAATCGCCACGTCGGCTTTCGGCATAAGCATTAATTCCATGAAGGAGCGTAATAACGAATTCTTTATAAGAGGCGTGGAGGCCAGCAATTTCCAAAGCTTTGTGGCCGTATTGAAGTTAGTGTTATTCCACACGACGCCACGGTTAATGAAGGCACTAGGAATAGATTTTTTTTCGTCGGCTACATCCCAATTCTTCAAGAGAATCGTGGCTGAGACCATTAAAATGCGCGAAGAGCAAGGAATCGTACGACCGGACATGATTCACTTATTGATGCAAGCTAGGAATAAAGAGGGTCATAGTAGTGTGCACGATATGACGTTGGACGATATCGTGTCGCAGGCATTCATTTTCTTTTTGGCCGGCTTTCATACGTCTTCGACAATAATGTGTTTTCTTGTACATGAACTCGCGGTTCACCGAGATATACAGGATCGTCTATATGAGGAAATAGAACGACATCTCGCCGAGGGAAACGGCGAAATCTCCTACGAGTTAATGTCGAAGATGACTTACTTGGACATGGTGGTGTCGGAAGCTCTTCGGAAGTATCCGCCAGCGCTCTTCATTGATAGGATCTGTGTAAAGAGTTATAAGCTATCTCCGTCGAAGCCGGGCTGCAAAAGCGTGATCATCGAGCCCACGTCCAAGATTTGGATACCTGCTTACGCGTTGCACCATGATCCCAATTATTTCCCTGACCCGTACAAATTCGACCCCGAGAGATTCGGCGACGAGAATAAGGACAACATCGTGCCGTATACATATATGCCCTTCGGCCTCGGGCCCAGGAAGTGCATCGCCAATCGTTTCGCTTTCATGGAGGTAAAACTCGTGATGGTTCGTCTCCTACAGAAATTTATCTTCAAGACCACGGAGAAGACTGTCGACCCTATGGTATACGATAAAAATGTGTTCTCGTTGCAACCTGATGGTGGGTTTTGGATTTCATTGGAGAAAAGGGAAAAATGAGCTGACATATTTTACTAGAAACGGCTTATGTAACTCATGTTTATTGATACGTAAAATCTTATCGAAGTGTAAAAGTAAACGCTTACTGTTTCTGAATCTATTGTTCTGTGTAAAAGATAGTATCATTATTATGTTTGAGATATCCTTGTTTTGTTTTTAATAAAAAGCTGAAACATTGAATAGGATTAACGTTGACATTGTTGAATTCGTCGAATATGTTACACTTATAATTTTATATTAGTTTATTAGAGAAGGAGGAGAAAATTATAATTTATAACAGGAGTGATTTCTAATATATAAGGAGCAATGGCGGTAATGGTGATCAGCTAAGCGGAAATTCATAAAATTGGTAGTCGATCTCTTCTAAATCTCTTGCAACAAAGCGCAGCTCTTAATCATGGTCATTCCAGCCCCGACTGACCACCGTTACTCAAATTATATGTTTTCACAAATAAATTAAACTTGTAACGCTCCATCAATTCAAAAAATTCAATATTCTTGCCGTATATTTAATGGTTTATATAAGAAATTATAAGGTTTATATTATGTGTTATAAGGTTTATATGAAAGGTTAAAGGTTTGCATTATATTGTAGAAAATACTGCAATAATTAAACATGAATAAATTAGCTGACTTATCAGGTTTCTCTTGTAGCAATCTTAACATCAGAAAATAGCGAAATAACCTTTTTGTAATAGATCATCTGTGGACATTACGGTATATTATCGTAGCGTTGTTTTGTCTTATGCTTTCTTTGGCTCTTCACAAAGGAAATAAACTTGCAGAATTTAATTTGTACCGACAACTGTCGAGATATATAGGTACCAGCATTATTTACCGGTAGTACTCTATTCTTTTTTAATAAACTAACAAGCGACTCTTGTTTCAGTAAAATTGTTATTTATATATTAATCGTTTTCTTTCAAAGCCATTTGTCATGCGCCATTTATGATAAAAACATATCGAATCATTTATTGTCGCTCGTTAAACATGTCTCTAGCGGGAATTAGATAGTACACTTATGAGTGTGGGATAAAAGCGCATAAAGCAATTTAGATATATCTTGTCCATAGAATTGCAAAAATAATAATTCCAGGTTAACCGTTTCATTGTTTAAAATATATACTTTAATGTTTTCTTTGATTATATTAGATTAAGCGGAGATTACAGAAAATAGCGCTTGAATTTAATACATGGTTATGAAAGTAAACAAATTAAAATATTGTGGTCTTTTTACAATTTTTATTCTATATATATGTAAAATGGAAATTTAAATAAAAGTCTTTTTAAGAATAATTTAGACTTAGAAGTCTATGAGAAGTCCTACCCAAATGCAACTGTCGGAATTTTTACAATTAAAAATTGATTCGGTCCGTGTAATATATAGTTCATTTGCCGATACATTTATAAATATTTATAAATATTTATTAGTATTTTATGGATATTCTGATATATTTATTTTAAGAGAGCATTTTAATTTAGAATCTTCAGAATTTTCGATTTAGGGATTTTATATTTTCTTAAATTACACTGTCTGAAGAACATTTTCTCGAAATTGTAAGTTGATCCGAATTCAATGGACGGAAATTTATAAAATTAAATATATTCGTGTATATTGTTCTGTTAAGTACTGCCCAATATTGGAACACACACATTTTAACTCAGAAATTGTCCTTGTTTATATTAGGTTGGGGAAGATGAAATCCATTATTTTTACGTGAACTTTAAGACTTTATTTAACATATTTCGGATTGTCCGGTTTGGGTCAAATATGCATCGTTTTGTTTTATAATTTGTTGCCATTTTAAAGGTAGCTTTATAATGCCTCTCTCATAGAAGTCTTAGTCCCTATTGGCGAAAAACTCTAGTAATCGATTTTCACAATCTTCTCTTGATGCCAATTTCTTATCACTAAAGAAATTTTGCAATGCAAGAAAAACATGGTAATCGCTTGGTACCGGACTATGTGGTGGATGCATCAAAACTTCCCAACCAATCTCCCGTAGTTTCTGGCGAGTCGCTATAGACTTGTGTGGCCTGGCGTTATCCTGATGGAACACAACACCTTTCCTGTCATCCATGGTTACAAAACGTCGCAAAAAATTCGCTGGTTTCTTTTTAAACACTTGCAAACAGTTGGCTGATGTTCGCATGCGAATTCGTTTTTGCTCTGGTGTAAGCAAACGCGACACCCATCTTGCGCTAAGTTTTCTCATGTGCAATTCATTATGCAAAATGAAGTGAACCCGCTCAGTTGAGATGCCTGTGGCCTCTGCTGGCTCGCGCACTTTTACTCGTCTGTCGGCCAAAACCATATCATGGACTTTATTGATGATTTCTGACGTCACAGCTTATTTCGAGGCTCCAGGACGTGGTGCGTCTTCGATGCTTGTTCTGTCACGTTTGATTTCATTTATCCAAAGTCGAACGGTTTCATAGGAAGGGCATGAGTCATCCAATGTGGGGTAAATCCTTTCATCAATTTCTTTTGCTGTTTTCCTTCCCAGAAAAATGAATTGAATTATGCCACGAATTATAATTTTATCCATTTTTCATTGTCACTCGAAACACTTCTGCTTTCGCTTCGAGTGCCGGATATATCCGGCATCCACACGGCGACCGGCGCGTGCTTCCGTACGGTGACGACACTTCGGCGGACTGGACTGTCGAAGCGAAAGGGTTAAGCAACTGACAAACAACAAATTACTAAGTCAGAATGATTTGTGACCATAGAATATTTATCCATAAGAAGAACAATTTATGATCACATATACAGATGTCGCTGTCGTCCTCTTTCAGTATCAGCTAGGTTACTTATCACCCTCGTACGTTAGTCCTTAACATATAAATAAAACGTGTACATAATTTATGATATGCTTAATTTATGATATTAAAAAGACAACTAAGAAAAACATATGTGGAAGGGAAGAAAAATAAATAATAGTACAAAATATATTTTCGTGCAGCATTGATCAATCTGCCATCGTTTTTTCCTCTTTGAGCTATTTTCATTCTTAAAACGAAACATAAAATGAAATTCTTCACTTTATATTTTTGCAATTGTGTAGACCACATTCTGAAATTTCCGCCTCATAATTGAATAATTCCGCCTAAATTCATGATAGGTACAATCCATAAGGCAAAACATTAATTGAGCAATAGTTCGATATATCAAAAACTATTATTCCTGAGAAAATATCTAGATATTATTGGAGTAAGTTATTCTCCTCAGTAAAATATAATAAGTAGTTTTGACGAGAATTTACGTGCGATTGAAATGACATTTTTAGACATGTTGTTTATTGCGTAGATAACACGCGTCACAAATCAACGGAATTGGCAACAGTTCAAAAGGCTTTTATCTTGTTTTCTTCTCTGTGTATGATAAGACTCGTGTTTTTGAATGTGTATGTCTGAACTTCTTATATCATATGCCGCGAGCGACGAAGCCATTTGTTCACGGACGTGTCGATCACGATGGAGTCATCGTCGTTGTCGTTATTTTCATCGTCTTTTGTGCTTTTATTAACAACTTTGTGCACTATCGGCGTGTTGAAATTTCTCGCTGTTCTGTACGATGTTTATACTTACTGGAGTAAAAGAGGCGTCCCACATATACGAACAATTCCGACTTTGGGGACTCCTTGGCAAGTGATCTTTCGACGCATAAGCTTCCCCGACTATACCAAATTCGTCTACAATTATGACCAGGACGCGAAATACATCGGACTAATGGACATGGCCACTCCTCTTGTTCTTCTGCGCGACCCCCAGCTGATAAAAGATGTCATGGTGAAAGATTTCGAACATTTTCCGGGGCATTCCACCTTTGCGAATGAAGAATTAGATCCCTTGTTCGGTAAGAACGTCTTTTCCTTGCACGGTGATCGTTGGAAAGAAATGAGGAACACGTTGAGTCCCTCTTTCACCGCCAACAAGATGAAAACCATGTTCGGGCTGGTGTCGAAATGTTCCCGCGAATTCGCCGAATACCTGGCGGATCATCCAGAGCTGTGCTCCTCTGTCGATACGAAGGAGGTCTTCAGACGGTACACCACCGACGTAATCGCCACATCGGCCTTCGGTATAAGTGTGAATTCCATGAAGGATCGAAACAACGAATTCTTCACGAGAGGATTGGAGGCTACCAATTTCGGTAACTTTGTGTCTATATTGAAGTTCATATTATTCCGCGCGGCACCGCGATTTGCGAAGTCAATAGGTCTGAACTTCTTCCCGTCGGCTACGACCCAATTCTTCAGAAGAATCGTAGCAGAGACCATTAAAACCCGCGATGAGCAAGGTATCGTTCGCCCGGACATGATTCATTTATTGATGCAAGCTCGTAACAAGGAGGGACCCAATGTGCACACAATGACGCTGGACGACATCGTGTCACAGGCCTTTATCTTCTTCTTCGCTGGCTTTGAAACGTCCTCCACGTTGATGTGCTTCCTCGCTCATGAGCTCGCGATTAGCCGAGACATTCAGGATCGCCTGTTTGAAGAGGTGGAACGACATTTCGCGGAGGAAAACGGCGAGATCTCTTATGAGACTGTATCGAAGATGACTTATCTGGATATGGTGGTGTCCGAAACTCTGCGGAAGTATCCGCCGATGTTTGTCACCGACAGACTCTGCGCGAAGAGTTATGAACTACATCCGGCGAAGCCTGGTTGCAAGAGTGTGATCCTCGAGCCCAATTCCTTGACGTGGACGCCTATTTACGCGTTACACCATGATCCCAAATATTTCCCGAATCCGTCTGTGTTCGATCCTGAGAGGTTCAGCGACGAGAACAAGGATAATATTGTGCCGTATTCATATGTACCCTTCGGCGTCGGGCCTAGGATGTGCATCGCCAATCGTTTTGCTCTCATGGAGACGAAACTCTTGATAGTTCATCTCCTACAGAAATTCATTTTCAAGGTCACAGAGAAGACCGTCGAGTCCGTAGTGTTCGATAAAACACAGTTTTCGTTGCAACCTGATGGCGGATTCTGGATTGCATTGGAGAAGAGGAAATAGTAAATTGAGACCGGCATTCGAAATTACGTGCTTGATTCTTGTTTATCGACGAATGGAATGCTATCAATATATGAAAGTGGACTTACCGTTATTACAAATGTTTGGCACTGTGTAAAAAAGTATATCTTCATTACTGTGGAGAATGTGCATCTATATCATATTTGTTTCGAAATATTCTCATTTCGTTTTTAACGCAATTTTAAAATTAAATTTCTGAAACATATTTTTAATATGAAAAATTTCTAAAGCATCATAAAACTGCGCGGCCGTCGTTTCGGCAAAATTGTTATTGCTGTGTCACTCGTTTAATTCATTAATAATCTTATTGATGTGTAGAATTCGATGTTTTTGTTGAACAGTTCGTGTCTGATCTTGCCACGCGCCACTTGTAAGAACTTCTGGCGATAAGGACTTTTAGCGATAATTGCTTGTTAAACGTGTCTCATCTTCGAGAATTAGTTAGCAAGTGTATTGGACAAAGGTGGAAAAAATAGATAAAGTATATATTAGAGATATGTATATTTCAATATGTATTATTGTAAAAATAATAAATTCTTTTTAACTGATTAGATCTTTTATATTTCATTAATTAAAATGGATATTTTGACCTTCCTTTAATCACATAGAACCGCAGAGGTTTAGAGAATGTAGGCAAAAAGCAGATTTGATTTATAATTAATTTATAATTGTGAATGTGATCATTTTAAATTTTAAATATTGGCCGCTTCTTTATTTTCACACAAATTAGATAGAAAAAATACAAATGTCTTCGAAAATGACTTATTCAGAGATAACTCAATAAGAATGAAGATATTTCCGAACATAACGGAATCTCCCGAAGTTACAAATAGATTAAGTTCGTAATATACAATATAGTTATAATATAAATATAGTTTTCATAACATTGTTAAATTGTAAAAGAGTGTTTTTCCACGTATCGATATGTCCCTGAAATCTTGTACTCTTGGACATTTATATTGTTACCTACAATCGATTTGTTATCAGTCATGACATTTTCAAGAAATATACTCATCATCAGACATTTATTTCTCAATGTCATTTTCTTAACGTTTCCATGAAGTATACTGTTGTTCAATTGTTATCACAAAAATGATAACGCAAGAATAAAGGAATAATGCATATTTTTTATGGAAGTTTTGGTTCAATTATATTAGTATAGAAAAGTGAAACGTATTCTCACTCGTTTATAATATAACTAGAATAATACACGCGCCCATAATACGGGCGTTACGCTACGCTGTTTGACTATTTATTATTATACGGAAATTAATCTCAGTTTATTATTACACGAAAATTAATCTCAGTTTGTATAATTAAATGAACATATCGGATTAAAAAGTTTTTTATCATACTAAAAATCTATTTATCTTTTCTTCGTTTTTAAAATATTTTAATTGTTTATCCTTGTTAACATATAAACTGAGGGACGAATTCGTCGTTCGAATTCACTTAATCACTTAACATGTAAATGAGACATATGAAGCAAGCCGCAACGCTGCAACGCGCGAATCAATCAGCATCGCGGAAAAGAGGTTTGAAGAACATTTCGATATGTTAATTAACATATCGTTTTTAGTAGAAATAAAATTTTAAATTTCATTATTATATATTATATTATTTGTTTTTGTTATGTGCACATACACACACACACACACATATTTTTATTATATATGTAATTATTTTATATGTAACAATATAATTTTTATATATTTTATATTAATTTGTGATAACAAATGTGAATTACGCGCGAACAGCGCGAACAGAGAGATTCCATTTTTCGTGAGAAATTTACTAATGAAATACGAGATGCGAGAAATTGTTTAATTTATATCAGAAAGATGTTTAGAATCAGGGCTGTTTTTTTGTCTCTCCCCTGCCGCTTGATTCTTTCTAGACTAATGACTTCTCATTAGGTCTCACGTTACGTACATGTGATATCAGAACGTATCGGCTTACGGACAGCAGCCTGTCTCGGGCTTATGTTTGTCAGTGGACCTTGGTTGTTTTTTATTTGATATAAAACATCAGATTTCACCCCGAGACTCGAGTGACTGTACATCGAAGCATGCACCGTATATTATCGAGAATATTGAGCGTCAACGCTGTATGGAATATGCGAGTTCGTTCATATGTCCTTTTTCGGCGATAATAAATACCTCGCCATCACAGAGGAATGATTTCACGCGCACCTATACGATAGCCTTACACGTGTAAAACGATACGGCAATCAATTCAAGCTAACCATCCGCTGAAGTAACCAGCGTACAGCTTTCCTATCCCCTCGTGTGCTCATCCTCGCGCGATCCCTTTGGAGTTGAACCGTCGCTATAAATCAACGTTATTAGAGGCATCGTATTCGTCGTAGCGGCCCCCAAGTCGGTAATTTTGTATCAAATTGTGACGAAATAGATTGCAGCATACCGCGGTCGAGATCGTCATTACCTCGCGAGATCTTTAATTGACGCTATACTCTTAATAAGAACCTAGTTTCATATATATTTCGTGTATCAGTGTTCATAGCTTTTCCTGAATTTAACAACGGGCAACGGCAAAGCACACGCGAGAAAATTTTGCAAAAAGTTACCGTACAAATTTTGTAACCGGGACACATACTGATATTTTGTCTTAATATGTTCGCTACTAATGTTCATTTGGGGAATCCTCCCCACAGATTACTTGGAATTTTTTCTTTTCTACATAATTGTGTAGAAAATAGCCTTAGTTTGTTTATTATGGGCGCAAAAAGAAAAATTATCGCCATTGACACACATATATGACGTATCTCTCGTAAGAAATGGATTATACATGTATAGTGAAAGTATTAATTTATTATTCTTCCTTTTCACATACGCTACTTTTATTTTAAGGAAGAACCATATAAGGAGACTATTAGAAATATGCTCTTTGATAAGGTGAATTCTACTGAGCATTTATTATTCCCGTATGTCAGTAAACGTGGTAAAATTGAAAATAATTTATGTAACAAAAACTTAATATATAATAATATTTTGAATAAAAAAACTAGCATAAAAGCTAATACATTGAGATAGAAATGTCTGAAAAATAAAAAAATATTTATTCAGTATGTACTAATAACATATATATCAGTATAAATATAATGTGTGTGAGTGTGTGTGTGTGTGTGTGTATAATTATATTTTTTTTTATTTGAAACACATTTTTTCTCAGTGTAAAAGAAAAAAAAATATATATATATATATTACATTGAACAAAAATTTGTTTCAAATGAAAAAAATATAATTTTTTTTTAATACAGCTTTTAATAAAAACAATTGCTTATTATTAGGTGCTTGAATTAATTCTCGCTGTTGACTAATAGAGGTCAGTACTAAAATATAACTACTCGGAACGTTAATCATTTCCTTTCGATTCCTTTCATTATTCTTCATTAAAATTTTATCGTTTTAACAATTGAAACCGCCTGGTTTTCGACAGACGATTGCGTCTTGAGAATTTTTTGTTAATGCGTACTCGTCGTCGTCGGTGGATACGTTCGCGAATTCGCAACACGGCACACGCCTCGTGACTCTGATTGCCGCTGAGCGATGAGACATTTTGTTCTTCGGACTGGACAATGCGGTTCGCTTTGCAGCGTGGAGCGATGCCGATCGTAGTTTATCGGGTAGTAAAAGGGAGCCGGAGCGGGAGGGGGATGACGGACGGGAAGGAGAATGAGCATTGCGCGTCGCTCGTGTCGCAACACGTGAATTCGAGCTCCGACTGCCTGGAGGGTTCACTTCCGTCAGTTACCCCCGCTGGCCTACCGTCGGAGTCACGTGCATACGACTGTCGTCGTGCACGTATCACCGTGTATCTCCTCTGTCATGTACATGCAACGTCCGGCGCTCCGTTACAATGTGATCCGGTATGAAATACTATTCCCTCTTCCTTTATCTTTCCTCCTTATTTACTTCTGTGTGTTTGCACGTTTGTCGCTCGCATCCGCTCCCCCCCCCCCCCCCNACCTCCCTCCCCTCGGGGCACGCTTGTGTCTCTCTTACAGCGAATTCGATTGACCGTCCGTTCGCCCATACGTACGTTGGTCGGATTTATCATAAGAGATGTCTATTAGCCGCGACACGTGCGCGAGACGGGGGAGGAAGAATTCGGACGAGTCGCAGAGAATATTGTTTAAAAGCGAGCAGTCGCGAGAATGGACGAGCAATATTGAGTTCATCGCAAGATCCGCGCGGTTCTGACAAAAATGGAACGATTTCGCGAGCGGATGTTTATTTCATGCTAGATTTTCGTTTCGATTCGCACCGGTAATATATGCCTCATGTCTCGCCAGCTTCGCATTGGTAACGATATTTCTGGTGTGCAGTGTGTCGTGTCTAAACGAGTAAATAATTTCGCGAATTGTTTCATTCGACTAATGGACAATTATCGACACATTGCGCGAACCAGAGATGTGAAGCGACGAACTCGAGTCGAAATTTCGATGTCGCTTTGATTCTCTCGAGGATGGTTTGCGCTTATTTACATGGCCTATAGACTAATAAAAATCCATTTTAACGATACTGACACTTATTAACTTCTCTTTTGGATCTTTAATTCTACAGATTTTAATTGAATGCTTAATCATGAAGAATTTATTTTGACATGGCGAAAATGGACATTTAAGAGATCATTAGGATCAAAGTAGGAAATAAATCATATCATTAGAATTGAAGTTGAACCTAGTTTGCTATCTTAGCTCTTACTATATGAGTGTAGTAATTAAAAGTTTAATATAGAGGCAAAATTTCGACTCCGGAAGAGTCGTTTTTAATATTTTAAACTTTAAGAATAGCGAACGTCGATTCGTGTTTTTAGGGAAGTGAAATGAACGCAGTACATTCGTAAATTAAGTTCGCCACCTTTTTACAAAAGATAATATTATCACGAATATCATACCACTAAAATATTACGGGAGTAACCATTAATTGTATATGTTTCAATTTCGAATAAAATGTTACAGTTATATATATGGTTCGCAATTAAATTAATACTTCGATATTATGCTCTAAAAGTCGACGATTAATAGCTTCCGGTTAACGTTGTTTTTCTCTTTATTTATTCCATTTCTTTTGCCCGTTTTATCTTCCTTCCCTCTCTCTCTCTCTGTCTTCTCTCTTCTCCTCCTCCTTTTTTTTTAATAACATCTGCGTATTCGTACAAGGTGGTATCGAACGACCCCATTACTGCAAAGCTGGCTGTTGCAAATAGTGGATTATCTTCGAGGGTGTCAGGTGCTGGTTCAATCTGAACCGATCGCAATTCAATTTCAACATTCGCTCAACCCGCTAACCGACTACGAGCGACCAGTTCGCAATTTACGTAACTTTGTCAAAGGTACTCGCGTAAAATTTCAGAATATCCGTAACCCATAATGCGGATCGACGTTTTTAATCAACGTCAATCGCGTCCCCGCGCTAATTGCAGCATATATGTCGCCAATATCTCACATTGCGCGATTTCAATCAAGACGAGAATGCGAATTTGACCATGGGCTTTCCGCTCTTTGCTGTTTCAGACGGTGTCGATCTCGATGTTACTGCGATACTCGCATCACCAGATATTCGTCTTCATCGGTAAGTATTGAGACACGTTTCATTACACTGTAAGAGAAATCTCGTTAAAATTATGGTTATTTCTGCCTTAACTATATCTTCTTCTGGTTTTAACTGAAAAGAAATAGTAATACATAAAAAAGTACTCGATTCAAATAAATAATGCTCCACTATTCCTCAGCAACTTCTTATTTGAATAAAGTAATATTGGTATATAATAAGTATATAATAAGGTTTTATTGGGATCAAGTAAATATTTTACTTGGGAATAATTTACTCGGGAAATATTTTGCTTTGACTAAGTAAGTGTTATTTGATTCCACTAAAAATTTACGGGAGTTTTCGGAGTAATTATTTATTTGTATTTTAAATTTTTTCAATATTTATTTATATTCGTAATTTAAAACTTTTTTTCCGTGTAGCAATGTGAATGTAAGGCAATGATCACTCATGTTGTATGATAATACTTAGTAGAAAAATGATCCTCCTGATTATAATTCTTTCATTTCTAGTTATTATAATAACAAATATCGAGAATTTTTCCTCGAAGAACTTGACGAAGTTTCAGTTTATCTTTGTGTGTAAAACGCTCTGCACGGTTCTCGCAATCGCGGTATCTAACGTTTAATCAGTACGGAATTATCGTTATATCATGAGATCGATGCGCTGATTAAGCTAATTATCTCGCAACAATATTAGAAAGGTTTAATCGCGCGATGAAGAAGAGAAATTGAGTAACTTAGAGGAAATATATCATAACATCTGTATTATATTTTATCTTATATATATATAATCTTATATTATAAACTATCTAAAATCTTTTTGTTAAATTAAAATAAAAAATACGATGTTATCATCAATGTGGTGTAGAAAAATATGTCTTAAAAGCATGCAAATACACTGCAAATAACTCCACTTTCGCATGGTCCACCTTTTTTTTAAATACAAAAGTAATTAAACAATATTTAAATTAATGCGCAGTAAACTACAAAAAAACTACTTAAAAAAGTTTTGGATAATTCTGATGACATTTATTTTAAGACAGTTATCATAAGACTCAAGTTTCGTCAACAATTTTCACGATAATTTTTTGGTTGGCATATTTTGCCGTGCAGTTTACCTTTCTTATCCAATCAAATGGCGCTCCAAAACGGTTTTACAGCGAATTTGGTCACTTAAAATTCGCGCGATTTTGAAAACATAAGAAGATTACTACGTACTCGTTAGCTTCATGAGAAATAACTTATAAAGCAACATTTGCATCTTATCGCGATGCTTTTCTCGCAGAAACATTAATTTAAAGTCGACAAATTTATCGGTGACGACCGTTGAGTGAAGACTTATAAGCAAGAATAACTTAAGATCTCACAGGCTTTATGCATCGTCATCGTGAATGTGCGAAAATTATTCAGATCCGCTCGGTGTTGACGATGAATCTGTATTATTTTGAATGGCCGTTGGTATCTAGTTTTTGTTACGATTTTGTTAAGATTTAGTTCAGTTTTTGTTAAGATTTAGATGACACGATTTATGAAGGCCATTATACAACTTTATAAAAGGAAGGAAAAGAAGAATGAATGTTCATATAAAATATATTCGTACGTCTCACTGATCAACCTCTTGTTGTCTTCTTTTTTATTCATTATTTCCGCTTTCAATCTGGAAACAAAACATAATTTTCATACTTTATATTACAGCGATTGTAATATACGCTTCGTAATTTTCAACTCAAAATCTAAAAAATCAACTTTTAATTAACTATTACATACTAGTATAAGTTACAGGACCGAAGATTAATCAAGTAGTACATCAATGAATTAATCGCTATCCCTGCGAAAATATCAAATTATCGGAGTGAAACATACTTTACCGTGAAATGTTGAATAATTCATTTTAAAGTGGAGTACGTGTGTACGCTTAAAACAATATGTTTACTACTAGTGAACTACTAGTTCGCACACGTAGCAACAGTCCGTGTCTGAGAGGCGTTCCCCTTCCACTGCTCATGCATGATAAGATTTGCGCTTGTGAACGTTTATATCATTCTATCCGTGAGCGACGAAGTCATTCGTCTCGGACGTACCGGTCACGATGGAGTCGTCGTCGTTACTTTCATCACCTTTTGTGCTCTTAGCGACCACTTTGGCCATTATCGCTGCACTGAAAGTCATCGCCTTGATGTACCATCAATACACTTACTGGAGTAAAAGAGGCGTTCCTACTATACGAACAATTCCGGGTATTGGAACGTCTTGGAGAGTGTTACTGCGACGCATGAGTTTTCCCGAATATAGCAATTTCGCTTACGATTTGTATCCGGATGCTAAATACGTCGGACTGATGGATATTGCTACTCCTCTCGTTGTTCTGCGCGACCCTGAGCTGATCAGAGATGTTATGGTGAAAGATTTCGAACATTTCCCGGATCACCGTACCTTCGCGAGTGAAGATATAGATCCTTTGTTCGGAAAGAATGTCTTTGCCTTGCGCGGTAACCGCTGGAGAGAAATGAGGAACACGTTAAGCCCTTCTTTCACCGCCAGCAAGATGAAAGTTATGTTCGAGCTAGTGTCAAAGTGTTCCCGCGAATTCGCTGAATACCTGACCGATCATCCGGAGATGTGTTCCTCCATCGATACGAAAGAAGCTTTCAGGCGATACACCACGGACGTAATCGCCACGTCGGCTTTCGGAATAAGCGTGAATTCCATGAAGGATCAGAACAACGAATTCTTTAGTAGAGGAATTGACGTCACCAAGAGTTTTTCATCATTTAACATGTTGAAATTCTTTTTATTCCGCGCGGCACCGCGATTTGCGAAGTCAATAGGTCTGAACTTCTTCCCGTCGGCTACGACCCAATTCTTCAGAAGAGTCGTAGCAGAGACCATTAAAACCCGCGATGAGCAAGGTATCGTTCGCCCGGACATGATTCATTTATTGATGCAAGCTCGTAACAAGGAGGGACCCAATGTGCACACAATGACATTGGACGACATCGTGTCTCAAGCCTTCATTTTCTTCTTGGCCGGCTTTGAAACATCCGCGACGCTGATGTGCTTCCTCGTGCATGAACTCGCGGTTCATCGCGACATTCAAGATCGCCTGTTTGAGGAGGTGGAGCGACATTTCGCCGAGGGAAACGGCGAGATCTCTTATGAATCGTTGTCGAAGATGACTTACATGGATATGGTTGTGTCCGAGGCCCTCCGGAAATATCCGCCGATGATCTTCGTCGACAGGGTCTGTGTGAAAAGATACGAACTACCTCCGGCGAAACCGGGTGGCAAAAGCATCATCCTCGAGCCTGATTGCATGACGTGGACGCCTGTTTACTCATTACACCAAGATCCCAAGTATTTCCCGAACCCGTCTAAGTTCGATCCCGAAAGGTTCAGCGACGAAAACAAGGACAATATTGTGCCGTATACTTACCTGCCCTTCGGCCTTGGGCCTAGGATGTGCATTGGCAATCGTTTCGCTCTTATGGAGACGAAACTCTTGATTGCTCATCTTTTGCACAAATTCATCTTCAAGGTCACGGAGAAAACGGTCGAGCCTATCGTGTTCGATCGAAAACAGTTCGCGTTGCAGCCTGAAGGTGGATTCTGGATCGCATTGGAGAAGCGGGCGAAGTAAATTTAAACGTAACACTGGAAATTGCTCTTTCCCAATATTGTTCACAGTATAGTGGATGTTTTGTCCGTTTAGCCCGATAGAATATTTAACAAGCCTATGTAAGTCCTAATTCTCAAAGACGATCGAAATGTATAAAATGCTTGATTTTTATTACGATGCGAATTTTGATTGTTCAGTATATTTTCTTACGCATTGTTTTGTAAGGGTTAGTTGTTTTGTTGGAATAAAGTGTATCATTTTTTTTGCTAACGCAAGATGAAAAGTCTGGATGTCGTGGTTAACAAACAAAGTTGAAAATTGCATAGATTGTGGTCCTGGTCCCTGATTAGTCCGTAATTACTTAGATAATTCGTGTTTATTACTAAGTGGAATATTGGAATATCGAAGTAAATGCCAATTATTATTAAGTATTCAGTTGTGTATAAAATAATACATCGCTTTTATTGCCGACGATATATGTTAATATATCCTCGGTTTCAAAGTATTTTCCTTTTAAACATGAAAACATTAAAGTTGAATTTCTTAAATTTTATTTTTAACATGGAACCTTTTTAAAGTATAACAGAGTTTACATCATTTCGGTAAAATTGTTACTCCTGTTTTATTGAATATAATATGAGTAATTTAGTGCCAATGCTGCTCGGTGCTTTTCCGACTTCCCTGAGGTGTAAGATTCGATCTTGCTACGCGCTGCTCGGGATGAGAACGTTTTGCATTGTCGCTCGTTAGATATAACTCGTCTTTGGGAATCAAAAAATAAACAACATGTATGCAACAATGTATATAACAAGCAAATATATGTATGCGGGGATATAGAATAACTTAGAGACATTTAGACTTGACTACAAAAATAATTCCTCGTTAACTGGTTAATAATTTTATGTTTTATTTTATGTCTGAAATAGATATTAGCATTTCCCGCTTGATCATATCGATTAAACCGAAATTAATGAACATAAACATTTTAATTTAATTCATGAGATGAAAATTGCGAAAGATTTTATTTATAGAACATCGCTCATATACTTTATTGCAGTACTTTCCGGCTGGACCCAGAAAGATGAGTGTAAGGTCAATAGATTTATCAGTGACGATCTTTGAATGAAGACGTTTAGTAAGGGTAACTTAAGATTTCACAGGCTTTATGCATGAGTCATCGCGAATGTGCGAACTTTATTAGATACGCCCGGTGTTGACGGTTAATTTGTATTATCTTGAATGACCGTTGATATCTATTTTTTGTTTAGTTTTAAATGACACGATTTATGAAGGCCCTTATACAACTTTATAAATTTTGTTGACAATGAAAGTAATAATAGTTATATTAATCCTAAAAGGAAGGAAAAGAAGAGTGAATGTTCATATAAAATATATTCGTATATCTCACTGATCAACCTCTTCTTGTCTCTTTTTTTATTCATCATTTCTGTTTTCAATCTGAAAACAAAACATAAGCTTCATACTTTAAATTACAGTGATTGTAATATACGCTCTGTAATTTTCAACTTAAAATCGAAAAAATCAACCTTTAACTTTTACATACTAGTATAAGTTACATGGCCGAAGATTAATCAAGTGGTAAATCAATGAATTAATAGCTATCCCTGCGAAAATATCAAATCATCGGAGTGAAACATACTTTACTGTGAAATGTTGAATAATTCATTTTACCGTGGAATAGGTGTGTACGCTTAAAACGATATGTTTAAACGGATTGTTTGCTACTAGTTCGCACACGTAGCAACAGTCCGTGTCTGAGAGGTGTTCCCTTTCCACTGCTCATGCATGATAAGATTTGCGCTTGTGAACGTTTATATCGTTATAACATTCTATCCGTGAGCGACGAAGTCATTCGTCTCGGACGTACCGGTCACGATGGAGTCGTCGTCGTTACTTTCATCACCTTTTGTGCTCTTAGCGACCACTTTGGCTATTATCGCCGCACTGAAAGTCATCGCCTTGATGTACCATCAATACACTTACTGGAGTAAAAGAGGCGTTCCTACTATACGAACAATTCCGGGTGTTGGAACGTCTTGGAGAGTGTTTCTGCGATGCATGAGTTTTTCCGAATATGGTAAATTCGCTTACGATTTATATCCGGATGCTAAATACGTCGGACTGATGGATGTTGCTACTCCTCTCGTTCTTCTGCGTGACCCTGAGTTGATCAGAGATGTTATGGTGAAAGATTTTGAACATTTCCCGGACCACCGTAAATTTACGAGTGAGGATGTTGATCCTTTGTTCGGAAAGAATGTCTTTGCCTTGCGCGGTAACCGCTGGAGAGAAATGAGGAACACGTTAAGCCCTTCTTTCACCGCCAGCAAGATGAAAGTTATGTTCGAGCTAGTGTCAAAGTGTTCCCGCGAATTCGCTGAATATCTGAGCGATCATCCGGAGGTGTGTTCCTCCGTCGATACGAAGGAGGCCTTTAGGCGATACACTAATGACGTAATCGCCACGTCGGCCTTTGGCATAAGCGTGAATTCTATGAAGGATCAGAACAACGAATTCTTTAGTAGAGGAATTGACATCACCAAGAGTTTTTCATCATTTGGCGTGCTGAAGTTCTTTTTATTCCGCGCGGCACCGCGATTTGCGAAGTCAATAGGTTTGCATTTCTTTCCGCCGGCTACGGCCCAATTCTTCAGAAGAATCGTAGCAGAGACCATTAAAACCCGCGATGAGCAAGGTATCGTTCGACCGGACATGATTCATTTATTGATGCAAGCTCGTAACAAGGAGGGACCCAATGTGCACACAATGACATTGGACGACATCGTGTCTCAAGCCTTCATTTTCTTCTTGGCCGGCTTTGAAACATCCGCGACGCTGATGTGCTTCCTCGTGCATGAACTCGCGGTTCATCGCGACATTCAAGATCGCCTGTTTGAGGAGGTGGAGCGACATTTCGCCGAGGGAAACGGCGAGATCTCTTATGAATCGTTGTCGAAGATGACTTACATGGATATGGTTGTGTCCGAGGCTCTCCGAAAATATCCGGCAATGATTTTCGTTGACAGGGTCTGTGTGAAAAGATACGAACTACCTCCGGCAAAGCCGGGTGGTAAAAGCATCATCCTCGAGCCTGATTGCATGACGTGGACGCCTGTTTACTCATTACACCAAGATCCCAAGTATTTCCCGAACCCGTCTAAGTTTGATCCCGAAAGGTTCAGCGACGAAAACAAGGACAATATTGTGCCATATACTTACCTGCCTTTCGGCCTTGGGCCCAGGATGTGCATTGGCAATCGTTTCGCTCTTATGGAGACGAAACTTTTGGTTGCACATCTTTTGCACAAATTCATCTTCAAGGTTACGGAGAAAACGGTCGAGCCTATCGTGTTCGATCGAAAACAGTTCACGTTGCAGCCTGAAGGTGGTTTCTGGATCGCATTGGAAAAGAGGACGAAATAAATTTAAACATCGGAAATTGCTGGTTCCGAATATTGTTCACAGTATAGTGGATGTTTTGTTCGTTTGGCCCGATAGAATATTTAACATGTCTGTGTAAGTCCTCATTTTCGAAGGCGATTGAAATGTATAAAATGCTTGATTTTGTTACGATGCGAATTTTGATTGTTCAGTATATTTTCTTACGCATTGTTTTGTAAGGGTTTATTGTTTTTTTTTTGGAATAAAATATAATTTTTTGCTAATGAAAGATGAGAAGTCTCGACGTTACGGTTAACACAGAAGTTGAATTTTGCATAGATTGTGGAGCCAGTCACTGATGAGTCCGAAGTTACTTAGATAATTCGTGTTTATCACTAAGTGGAATATTGGAATATCTTAGTGTAGGTGCCGGTTAATAATTAAGTACTCAGTTTTATATAAAATAATACATCGCTATTATTGCCGACGATATACGTTAATATATCCTCGGTTTCAAAGTATTTTCCTTTTAAACATGAAAACATTAAAGTTGAATTTTTTAAATTTTATTTTTAACATGGAACCTTTTTAAAGTATAACAGAGTTTACATCTTTTCGGTGAAATTGTTATTCCTGTTTTATTTATGTAATATGAGTAATTTAGTGCCTGTTCTGCTCGATGCTTTCTCGACTTCCCTATGGTTTAAGTTTCGATCTTGCTACGTGCTATTCCGGACGAGGACGTTTCGCATCGTCGCCGGTTAGATATGACTCGTCTTCAGGGATCAAAAAGTAAACTTATGTATGCGGGAATATAGAGTAACTTAGACTTACTAGAGTTATTTAGACTTTACTACAAAAATAATTCCATATTAACTGATTCATTTTTTAATATTTTATATTATGTTTGAAATGAAGTATTTGCATTTTCCGTTTTATCATATCGATTAAACCGAAATTAGAGAACATATGGACTTGAATTTAATTCATGAGATGAAAGTTGCGACAGATATTAGTTATAAAACCTCGCTCGTATACTTTATTGCAATTCTTTTCTTGTGATCTCTGAGAGATGAATTTAAGATCAGTAGATTTTTCAGTGACGACTCTTGAATGAAGACTCTTGTGCAACAATAATTTAAAATTTCACATGCTTTATCTATGAATCATTATGGAAACGCAAAAATTAATGTGACACGCTCGATATTGTCAGTATATCTTTATTTTCTAGAGTTGTCGTTGACATTTAGTTTTTGTTTAATTTTGGACGATAAGGTTTAAGAAAGTCACTATGAATCTTTATAAATTTTAATGATAACGACGATAATAATAAAATTTATTGGTCATATAAGGAATGAAAAATTAGTGAATTATCGTTTAATGTATATATTTGTACGCCTAAGTGATCCACATTTCACTTTCTTTTTCTGTATTTATCATTTCCATTTTGAATACTGAAAATAAAATATAAACTTCACACTTTACATTCCTGCGATTGTAATCCGCACTCTGAAATTTCCAACTCAAAATCGAATATTTGACCTTAAATTAACTATTATACGCAAGTTACAAAGAAGATTAATCGAGCGGAAAAACGATGGATTACGAGCAATCCATGCGAAAATATCAAATCGTCGGAGTGAACATACTTCATTGTGAAATATTGAATAATTCGCTTTACCGCGGAGAACACTTTATGTAATTTTAAAACGACACGTTTAAAAGGATTGTTTACTATGTAATTTGCCCACGTAGCTGACGCAACGGTCCGTAATGGTTCTGAGAAGCCACTTGTCCCCTCTTCTGCACATGCTTGATAAGATTCACACGTTGGTGAACGTATATGTCTATAGTTATAACATTTTATGTGTGAGCGACGATGTCATTCGTTCTCGGACGCGCCGGTCACGATGGAGTCGTCGTCGTTACTCCCGTCACCTTTTGCTCTCTTATTGACCACTTTGGTCGTTATCGGCACATTGAAAATCATCGCTTTGATGTATGATCAGAACACTTACTGGAGTAAAAGAGGCGTCCCTTATATACGAACAATTCCGGGTGTGGGAACGTCTTGGAGAGTGTTTTTTCGACGCATGAGTTTGCCCGAATATATCAAATTCACCTACAATTTGGATCCGGACGCTAAATACGTCGGGCTGATGGACCTGGCCACTCCTGTCGTTCTTTTGCGCGACCTCCAGCTGATCAGAGATGTCATGGTGAAGGACTTCGAACATTTCCCGGACCACCTCGTTTTCGTGAGTGAGGATGTAGACCCTATACTTGGTAAGAACGTCTTTGCCTTGCGTGGTGATCGCTGGAAAGAAATGAGGAACACGTTAAGCCCTTCTTTCACCGCCAGCAAGATGAAAGTTTTGTTCGAGCTGGTGTCAAAATGTTCCTGCGAATTTGCTGAGTACCTGACCGAACATCCGGAGCTGTGCGCTTCCGTCGATGCGAAGGAGGCCTTCAGGCGCTACACCAATGACGTAATCGCCACGTCGGTCTTTGGCATAAGCGTAAATTCTATGAAAGATCAGAACAATGAATTCTTTACTAAAGGAATCAACGTCACCAAGAGCTTTTCATCGTTTGGCTTGTTGAAATTCTTTTTATTGCGCGCGGCACCGCGATTAGCGAAGTCAATAGGTCTGCACCTCCTCCCGCCAAGTACGACCGAATTCTTCAAGAAAATCGTCGCGGAGACCATTCAAGCCCGGGAAGAGCAAGGTATCGTCCGGCCGGACATGATCCACTTATTGATGCAAGCTCGGAACAAGGAGGGTCCCAGTGTGCACGAAATGACGCTGGACGACATCGTGTCGCAGGCCTTCCTCTTCTTTTTGGCCGGTTTCGAAACATCCGCGACGCTGATGTGCTTCGTCGCGCATGAACTCGCGGTTCACCGGGACCTTCAGGATCGCTTGTTTGAAGAGGTGGAGCGGCATTTCGCCGAGGGAAACGGCAAGATCTCTTATGAGTCGATGTCGAAGATGACTTACATGGATATGGTTGTGTCCGAGGCACTCCGGAAGTATCCGCCTGTAGCCTCCGTCGACAGAGTCTGTGTGAAGAGTTACAAACTGCCTCCGGTGAAGCCGGGTTGCGAAAGCATCATCCTCGAGCCTGATTGCATAACGGTGACGCCTGTTTACGCGTTACACCATGATCCCACGTATTTCCCGAACCCGTCCAAGTTCGATCCGGAGAGGTTCAGCGACGAAAATAAGGACAATATTGTGCCGTACACTTATATGCCCTTCGGCTACGGGCCCAGGATGTGCATCGGCAATCGCTTCGCTCTTATGGAGACGAAACTTTTGATGGCCCATCTTTTGCGCAAATTCATCTTCAAGGTTACGGAGAAAACGGTCGAGCCTATCGTGTTTGAAAAACACATTGTGTTGCAGCCGGAAGGCGGGTTCTGGATCGCGTTGGAGAAGAGGAAGAAATAAGTTCAAATATTACACGGGGAATCGCTTGTGCCAAAATATAGTCGCTTAAGAGTTCGGATTTTTTTCACGCGTATCTAAATCTTCTTTGTTCTCGAGGGCGATCGAAGTATAGAAGATGTGCATAATATTGTTGCGATGCGAATTTTGACTGTTAAATATATTTTTGTACGTGCTGTTTTGCAAGCTTTTTTGGAGATATACTGTATCCATTTTTCTTGGCAATCAAGGATGAGAAGACTGAGTGGCTTGACGATCACAGTTAGGTAGTGCGTAGATTCTCGAGTCAGTCACTGATTAACCCGGAGCGACTTACGTAACTCGTGTTTATCGTCAAGTAGAACATTGGAACATTGGAGAATGGGCGTTAAATTATTAAATGTTTAGTCGTGCATAAAGAGATATATTGCTGTTATTGCCGAAAAAGTATTAATATTTCATTGGTTTTGAGATATTTTCATTTTGGGCAAAAAACAGTAAAATTGAATATATATTAAATATCGTTTTTAACATGGAAAATGTATAGAATGGAGCGTCCATCTTTTCGGTAATATTCTTACTTCTGTTTTATTTGTACAATTTGTGTAATTCATTGGCAAAATGTGCTGCTCGACGTTTCCTTGGCTGGTTCAAGGTTCAAATTTGCTGCTCGTTGTAAGGACGTTTCGCATCGTCGCTCATTCGATGTATGACTCATCTTTAGGAATTAAATAGCAAGGTTATGTGTGCGGGAAGTAGCGAATTGAGTAATTTAGAGACATCTGTTTTATCCTATTACAAAAATGATTCCACGTTAACTGGTTTTACCACGTTAAATTTTTTATGTTTCATTGTTTAAAATGAATATTCGAACTTTCCCTTTAATTATATTGAGATAAAATCATAAAATCGAGATAAATGAATATAAGCATTTGAATTGAATTCATGGGACAATAATTGAGAAAGTTTTTACTTATAGAGCATCGCTCGTATATTTGATTGTTATTCTTTTCAGCCGGATCCAAAAGGGTGAAATTAAGGTCAATATATTTATCAGTGGTGACGGTTGAATGAAGACTCTCGCAACAATAACTTACGATTTCACAGGCTATATTTAGGGGTAATCATGAGAACGCAAAAATTATTGACATCTGCCCGGGAATCTGCATTTTCTTGAGTGGTCGTTAACATATAATTTTTGTCTAGTTGTAGACGACTTGATTTAAGAAATCCACTATAAAACTTTATAAGTTTTTATAATAATAATAATAATAATAATAATTCTATTCGTCATAAAAGAAGGGAAGAAAAAAGGAGAGTAAGATAAAAGGTCAGAAATTAGTGATCATAAGGTAACAATATTTTCGCATCTTACTAATCAACCTCTCATCGTTTTTTCTTACCAACTCATTTTTATTTTCTCGTTTAAAATAAAATATTAATTCTTCATTTTATATTTCCACAATTGTAATTCGCACTCTGAAAATTCCGTTTTATAATGGAATAATTCGATGTTATAAATTAACCATTTTACGCATGTGCAAATCATAAGGTAGAAAATTAATTCTAGCTCTGATTCCATAGATTAAAGCCCGTATTTATAGTCGTTTCTTGAGACTTGTTTCATGTGAGTTATTTCAGTTGAATTTCTTAACTCAAAACTGTAAGATACGGTATAGTTTAATAGACAGATCTTGAGAATAAACTTGACATTTGTGACGACATATTCGATTTGAAATCGATATATCGATCACTTCGCGTTATGTGTTTAAAACCTGTCAACATGTCAACCGTGGCTAAAAAGAAAACTTTTGCTTTTTCCGAAGAAAAATTTTTAGTGGATTGGTTTTAAAAATATAATAGAAAATAAAAGAACAGATGATATAATAACAGATGATGGTCTGTTAAAGCAAAACAAGAAACGTGGGTGAAAGTAGTGGCCGCTTTCAATATAAATGCACATATAAATGAAAAAAGTGATTTTATGAATTTGAATAAAATAAAGTTATAACTTATATTTTATTTACAATATTTACAAGTTGAGCCACGCAATTGGGACGAGTTATATCTCGAGTTTGGTTGGTGATACAAGAAAAATTGTAGTGGAAAAAGTTGAATGCTTTTGGGAGGTTTGCTTTCCTACGAGTTTACTTTTATCTTAAATGCAACGATGCATCTAAAAAATTTAAATGCACATTTTTTAAATAGAATTACATCTTGTTTTTATGTGGATCAGTTCCTCGAAACAGTTTATCTAAAACAATATTAAAGTACAATGTAAAAAAATCAACAATTCGTGAGATATTTCACATTTTTTGTAAGTCGTATACTTTATTAAAGAAGATGTCCCACCTTCACATAGTAAACTTCATAAATCATTTTTTATGTTTCTCATAACACAGTTAAGGTGCCCACTGTTTATATTAGAGCAATATAATCTAATTTGTTCAAGCTTATAAAAATGTGTTCACGTAAGTTGTTCAGGATACGTGTTATTGTACATTTTTGCAGCGTGGACAGAATTTTTGTTGCACAACACAGAACAAATAAACATATCTATTGTTCCACTTGGTATATGATAACATTTTCGTGATAGTTTCTGTATGAATTAGATCTTGATGTGACAATAAATTGCTTGTAACTAATAGAATATTTTTGATCGTAGAATTTATATCTTTAAGTAGTCGAAGGTGTTGATCATGGACATTACGCAAGTGTTTACAATTCATATGTATGGAATATCTTTAATGCGCAAAATTTCGAGTTATTAATGATTGAAAATGACTATATATAGAAGTTTTTTTAACTTAAATGAATTGATTGAAAATGACTATATATAGAAGTTTAATAACTTAAAAATTTGCGTATTATTTGCAAAATGATAAAGGATTTTTTATTCATTTCAATTCGTTCTACGCCCCCCTCCCCTTTTATTCCCATAACTCTAAGACACCCTATATATATCATATTCATTAAAAATATTATAATTTTCCATTCAATCTGCATATTCCATCACATCAGATTTTATAAATTAACCTAATTTGCATTATAAT